TACCGAAGCAAAAGCAACAGACCCTCTGCAGAGGATCAAAATTGTGATGGCATGTCTTCGGATCATCCTCAGGGATGTTTCTCAGACCGCCGCCAATAGCCCATTGTGCAGCTCTAGTGCGACGTAAACGAACAACAGAACCCAGAACATAACGATCATATTGATTTCACGAAACATTCATGCGTGAATTATATACAGTAAAAATGATCCTACTTGTTGTTCATAAAAGCAGTTCATAAAGTTCATTTGGAATCTGTAAGCTAGAAGACACTTTCTCATCTCAACTCTACTCGGTTTTTTTGCGCCGAAGCAAAACACGTAAAAACAACTACTAGCTCAACATAATAGTGAACTGAAACAGTTATTTTCAATTAGTATACTTTTGTTCATGAATTGTTACAGTTGTTAGATTTTATTTGTGCATCAAATACAGGTGCTGGTGAAGCAAGCATTACTCGAGGTATAAGTATATAACTGAAAAGTCTATTGTTTGTTGAAATCTCCAGCCGACCATTTAGATTGACAGGTATTTCATAAAGCTTTCTATAGTTTGAATTTCCTGTTCTTTTTCTCTCTATTTAAAGCTGTTGTTTCAGTTACGTTACATGTTTCAAGCTGTTTAAATTGACCAATATGATCTGAAGAATACTTTCATTTTGTGAAAATACAGTTAGGTTAAGAATGTAGTCTTGATACTCAACAAATCTTTGCATAATAAGCTGCAAATTTTACATTACTCTATAATGAGTATGAAATAATTTATTTTGAGCCTGAACGAAAGATTTTTTAATAGTCCTTTCCTCTAAATATTCCTTTTGTGATTGCATCGGTAATGGATAATTAATCAATTACAATCGATAATTATATCTGCTGGTATTTCAAACAGAAATTTAATGGTATATTTAGTAATAACCACGTGAAACTTTATATGACATGTATTTCTCTAAATGCCTAAAAGATATAAAATATTCAAAATGGCCTAAGTCTGTTGGAGTTGGAAAAAATTTATGACAATAAATATATTAAATCTTTTCCCTTCACAATTTTAGAAGCAGAATAGGAAGATCTACCTGCTTAAACCATTTCATTATGTACTCATGTCACTTTTTATAATTACATTTAAATAATAATAACAAGAAGCTTTTCTTATTTCAAGTTAGTGAGCATTATATTGAAAAGAAAAGTTTCCCTTCATACTCTTATATTTGAAAGCATAATTGGTTACAATAGATCATGTGATGAGTGACATCAGGCATTCCAATAACCTCCATGTGTCCTTTGAAAAAGGGGTAGAAGTACAAAAAATTCTATATGGCAGTTAGGAAAAGGCAGCAAATTTTTCGGAACGTTTACTGCTCTCCCTGTGTAGTTACTAAAAATTAACAAAAGAAAAAAAAATTATGTCAAAAAGTCTAATTCATCTGTAGAAAGTCTTTTAGCCTTTATTTAGCTATTAGAGAACCTTTTGAAAAGCAAGCAATTAAATGAAATCATACACTCTCTCTAGTCAGATGTTTAAGCTTCTAAATTTATTTGCCACGCCTCTTGTTGCTACAGCCATTTTGAGCTTTGTGACACATCCTATGATTCAAATTTTCATTTAAGATGAGACAAATTAAGAGCCAAATTCACCTTATTAGGGTGGTTTTTTTTTAATCATTATATTAGTTTTTGTTAACTTAAATTAACTTTTCTACTTGTTAAGACAATTTTATGTTATATTCTTTTCTCATGTTAATTTTTATTGAATACTGGAGAACTATTATTTTTGTTGACTTTGGGGATAGTTCCATATCACTTTAAATTTGTCGCTACTAAAATAGTCGGGTGAAACCGACTGAACTGAATAAATTTTAAGAAATATGTTAAGTAGCTTGCTTGGAAGTGCTAAAAGTTTTACTCTTTTTGTTTGTTTAATTTGGTGGTGTTTTTTTTATAGATATTTGCTCTTCATTGCCAGGTTGACATCCCTGTGGCAAAATTGCGGCAACATTGTCACAGAACATTGTAGAAAGATTTTTCATTTGGGAATGACTGGCTTCAGCAATATCAATAATATAAAATTCCTAAATCTTGAAAGTTTATAAGATAGTTTGAAGTGATGTTCTTTCATTTTTTTTTTTCATATAAGAACGCCATGTTTTACACAAACAGTGTTTTCAGCTCAGAAAAAAAATGGGTGAGAATTTCTCACCCTTTCTCAGAAACAAGGTGAGATTTCAAAAAGTTAAGTGAGATTTCAAAAATTTAAAAAAAAAAAAAAAAAACACCAAGAGACTTGAAAAAAATTCATTTCTTTTATTATAATGCATTTTTAACGTCTTCTAATTTTTAAACCATTGAATATTTTTGCTGCATCATCATATGGAAAATGTTCCACATCTACTTTTTCATCAGTTATTCTCATTAGGTTGCTCAAATGCGTATTTGTTTCGTTTTGATCATTTCTACCCACATTTGTTTCATTTTCATTTGTCTGTTTTGGAGTAGAAGATATTGGCTTTACAAGGTATTTGTCCATCTTACATTAACGAGCAAAAATTTGAACATCTTACATGACAAAACCTTACCTACGGTAAACACATAGTTGCAGAGAAATGCGTTCTGAAAGAGGTTCCGTGGTTCAGAAGGATGGTGTTCTGTTGTTCTTGAAGGTTCTGAACAATACTGGTAAATAGGGAAGCTAGATAATGGGGCAGATGTTGAAAATAATAAAAGATCCAGGAAGAAAAGTGAAACAGATTTTATTCTAAATGGCGCAAATGAGAAATTTTTTTCAAAATGCGAGAAATTCGCAAATTTTGACATTGGTTTATAGAATGCGCGAATTTCTCGCGGTGATAATTTTTTAATGCGAGAATATAAAAAAATATGCGAGATTATCGCGTTCTCGCGCTGTAGTGAAAACACTGCACAAACTTATTTGAGTATCTCTCTCTCTTTTTTTTTAAGATTCCCATTTGCGGGATTTCGTCGTCGATCTTTATTTTTGGGATACTGCACGGATTTTGAAAATTTTAATTTATTTTCGAATTTTACTTTTTGTAATGATGTATAAAATTAAAAAGAGGAAATAATTAGTGCATTTTTCCATCTACAAAATGCGAGAAAGCACATATAATATTAGAATTAAAAAAATATTACTTTTACAAATAAAATTTTTTATAAATTTTATTTGTAAAATATATACATTATTTATAAATTTTATTTATAAAATTTTTACATATTTTTATAAATATAAATAAAATTTTAAACTTTCTTCTGTAAACACAATATTTCTGTTACTTTAAATTAGTAATTGTTATAGTAAAATATTCTGCAACATCGAAAATTCTGTGAGATCAAAGCTTGATGGATATTTTGATATAAGTATGGATATCAAAATTATCCTGTTAACTACTAGGATAAAAGTTGTCACAGTAAAAAAGAATTTTTTTGTCAAAGAAGTTAATTGTAATCTAATCAAATTGTTTTAAACATTTTCATTTTAAGTAGTTTCCGCTTCAGAAAGTTGGAAAATTTTAAAAATATCCACTTCACTTCATCTTTGATATTCAAATGCTTAAATATTTTAACATAACTTTGACTACTTTGACTTGTCTACTTTGACTTTTTCATACTATAAAAAATAGTTAATTTATTTAAATTTTCCTTGAAACATTCACATAAAAAGTGAAGTTAACATGCACATGCATATATCATTCATCTTTTTTCAGTTCGATATTAACTATATTGTCTTAGAACTTTGTTAATTTAACTAAACTATGCTTTGAATTCAAAAAAAGATGAAATAAATTAATAAAATGTTGTCATATAAAAAAGAATAACTGTATGTTAATATTTTACTATTGACTTTATTATCGCAATCTGAGGCTATTGATTGTTATGTTTTAGCAATGTCTGACAGTGAAGCGAGCAATTATTCCGGGAATGAAAGTGAAGCTGAAGAACAAGAAAGTGAAGTAAGTTAGTTTACATTCTGTCTAATATTTAATACTTTGTTAAAAACCTGTCTTTAAAGCTTCTATTAAAAATGCTTATAATGATATTAAGTGAACCTTTTAAACAAAAATTAGTACAGTGGAAAATCGTCTATCCGGAATCGGTGGGACTTTTGGAAGTCCGGATATTAGATTTTTTTCCGTATAATAGACCCCAAAGGTAAACAAAGCTTAAAACGATTTGAATCTAAGAAGCAAAAAATAAATAAACTTTTCTTTTCTGGGCAATAATGTTTTAGTATTAGAATGATATCTAATCAATCAAAAACAAAATATTAGAAAATAATAATTATTGCTTAAAATATAGAAAACGAAAAAAAAATTTGACAGTTATCAAAACATTTATTGCTCTCTCCACCATTTTGAACTAAAAGGAATCAAGCAAGAAGGGGAAATTCCGGTCATTCATTAAGGTGAGAAGGTGGAGAAGAAAATTCATTTCCTCCTTCAAGTTGAGGGCGGGGCAGTGACAAATTCTTATCTTCTCTCCCATCATTGGCCATCAATAAAGCATAAAGGCTCAGCATGCTGATTGGGTTCTCTTTATTTTTTCTTGTGTGACTGAAAGTGACTCCCCCTCCACTTTAACATTTGATATGTTTACCCTTTTTCAGAGTATTTCTTCTTCCCTTGGCACTCTAATAAAATAGTTCCAGGAAATGCCTTTTTTACTAGGAAAGAAGGGGGGGGGGACTCAGGTGTGCTCTTTTGAAAACAAATCTCCCCCCTTTCCTGCATTCCTGAGGAGGAGCATCACTCCACGGTCTTGGGAGGTCTTCTTTTCCCCTTTCTGTTGATTTATGGTTTCAATGCATGAATCACTAGAAGCTGGATAAAGGGAAAAACGCTTGTCCAAAGACTTTTTTTTTAAGAGAGGAGAAGAGAATAGATGTTTATTTTGATTAGGGATGTAACGAATATTCGGCCACTATTCGGTATTCGGTCCTTTTGCCACTATTCGGTATTCGGTCCTTTTGCCGAATATTCGGCCTAGCCGAATACTGAAGTAATTCGGCCGAATAATTAAGTTATTCAAATTAAGTAAATTTTTTAAATGATTTTAAAAAATTGACATATAAGTTTTTAGTTTTCTGGGTTTTAATAATTCTTCTGGCAAAAAAAGGGGAAAAAAATTAAAAAAATACATTTAACAGTAGTAATGAGTTGTTTTAAATAAAATATATAAATTACAAGTATAATTAGTTAAAATATGCTCTTATTAATTATTTAGATTTGTGAAAGCCTTATTGTTGGCATCAAGATATTTAAAATATTACAAGAAATACATCAAGTTGTTAAATTTTTTGTAAAATATAGAAAGTTTAAAAAAGCAAATTTGTTAATATTTATTTNCCTGTTGGAAATTATGATATAATAAGTCACACACAATTTATATTTTGTATTTGTACTGATAAGTTTTTCTCCTCTTTAAAAATATCATGTTCCATTTTTTTTTCAGTATTTTTTAGTGATGTCATCAACAAACGTATCTAAATTGATAATTTTATATAGAATAAATGTAACTAGAAACTAAGTTTACAAAAATGTTCTTTTGCAGTATGCCTAAGTAACTCTAATTCACTTAAGGTCTTCTTTACTTTTGAACTAGAACGATGCAAGCTTTAAGGGGAAATTCTCGTCATTCATTAAAGTGGGTAGGTGGAGGAGAAAAACTCATTTCCTCCATATCTGTTTTTCAAGTTGAGGGCGGGAAGTGACAAATTCTTATTTTCTCTCCCATCATTGGCTATCAATCAAGCATAAAGGCACGGCATGCTGATTGGGTTCTCTTTATTTTTTCTTGTGTGACTGAAAGTGACCCCCCCTCCACTTTAACATTTGATATGTTTACCCTTTTTCAGAGTATTTCTTTTTCCACAGACACTCTAATAAAAAGATTCCAGGAAGTGCTTCTTTTACTAGGAAAGAAGGGGGGGAAGGGACTCAGTTGTGCTCTTTTGAAAACAAATCTCCCCCCTTTCCTGCATTCCTGAGGAGGGGCATCACTCCATGGTCTTGGGAGGTCTTCTTTTCCCCTTTCTGTTGATTTATGGTTTCAATGCATGAATCACTAGAAGCTGGAAAAAGGAAAAAGCGTGTGTCCAAAGACTTTTTTTTTAAGAGAGGAGAAGAGAATAAATGTTTCTGTTGATTAGGGATGTAACGAATATTCGGCCACTATTCAGTATTCGGTCCTTTTGCCGAATATTCGGCCTGGCCGAATACTGAAGTTATTCGAATTAAGTCAATTTTTTAAATGATTTTAAAAAATTGACATGTAAGTTTTTAGTTTTCTAGGTTTTAATAATTCTTCTGGCAAAAAAAGGAAGAAGAAAAATTAAAAAATACATTTAACAGTAGTAATGAGTTATTTTAAATAAAATATATAAATTACAAGTATAATTAGTTAAAATATGCTCTTATTAATTATTTAGATTTTTGAAAGCCTTATTGTTGTCATCAAGGTATTTAAAATATTACAAAAAATACATCAAGTTGTTAATTTTTTTTTTAAATATAGAAAGTTTAAAAAAGCAAATTTGTTAATATTTATTTAATTTTTAATTTAAAATTTGGAAATTATTTAATTACAAATTTAAAATTTCAAAAGTGAAACTTTTTAAAAAGTTCTTATTTTTCTGGGTTTTAATAATTTTTCTAACAAAAAAAGTTAAGAATACATTTAACAGTAGTAATGAGTTCTTATTTTAAATAAAATAGCATATAAATTACAAGCATAACTAAAATATGCTATTATTAATTATTTAGATTTATAAAAGCCATATTGCCTTGTTATTGGCATCAAGATATTTAAATTAATAAAAAAAATAAATCAAGTTGTTAAAAAAATTTTAAATATACAAAGACTAAAAAAGTAATTTTGTTAATATTTATTTCATTTTTAATTTAAAATTTGAAAATTACTTTAATTACAAAATTACAATCGAAAGAGAAATTTTTAAAAAGCAAGTATTCAGCCTAAAATTTGGCCGAGTATTCGCTATTTGGACCCATCACTATTCGTTACATCACTAATTTTGATTGTTAAAAAGTGTCCGGGAAAGGGACGTTACACTGTCACCCTTTCGCGACGGGAAGCACGCTAACCGCTGAGGCCGACAGTCTTTCTCACGTGTGTCTCTCCAGGGCCGGAGGGTTTTTTGCTGTTAAGCCTAATTCCATGAAATTACCGAAATATCAACCTGTTGTTAAATATTGTTTTGTAGAGTATTTAAATGACATATGCTTTATATATATTTCTATAGATACTTTATTTACCTAAGTTATTTCTTGCTCAAATATATATTTTACACATTTTATTTTCATTGTGTACTTATCATTTAATAACATTTAACATTACACATCTGAAAACTAAATATATGACTTAAAGTTCTTTTTTCGTTTGAAAAATTTTAAAACAGGGATCTTCAAGATCTAACTATCCACTAAAAACTAAACCGAAAATCGAAAGTAGCGAGACAAAAAAACCTCCCCTGTTTACTGTAAACAAATACCACGTGCAAATTTAAAGAGCCGTCATAAAACATTCCTTCCCCCTAAAAACCGAGTGAATGTACTCTCATCTTGAGTAGAAGGTCAAATCTACATGTCTCTGAAACCATATGGACATACAATGTCATCTTACGGAAGAAATGTTATTTTTTAAAACGTTCCAAAACGCTGGCACAAATGAGTGAGAGCCGGGGGTGAACAAGAAAATGCTCTGGCACGCGGGTGTGTCGGCCGGGAAGTGAGCACGTTTCTTGCTGGCGCGAAAGAGGGTTAATTAAAAAAAAAACTCATGAATGAATAATTTAATTGAAGTAGTATAAGAAAAAAAAAACTAGCACATAAGGTCTAAACATCTGCTGTGCTACTGAAATTTTCAGTAGAAATATGTATCCACTCTGTGCTGTTGTGCCTAAATGTGATTGTGATAAAAATTTCTCCTTTTTTTATATGATTGTTAATTACATTATTTATTATTTTTTTGAACTCTTTTATTTTGAACTTAGTTAAGAGCGCATCTTTGAGAAATTGGTCTTAATTTAAAATGTGTGTTCCCATCCTTTGAATGATATTTATTTATTATTTGAATGATATAGTTAAAGGAGCAAGGCTATGTTCATTTTATGCAGCCTTGCTCATTGTTTCAAAATATGATTCGCTAGCTATGTACTAGCTCTTAAACATGCATTTTTATTATCGTATATGCTTATTTTGAATTATGTCCGAAATAAAAAGTCTAAGAAAATTTTATATCATAAGGTTACGTAATAATTCATCATGGTCATTCGCACTACAGCTTGGGGTAGACCTTGACCTTCTCTAGAACATTTTGCCATGTTTTTCTTCATGTTTCCAGTTCAATACCCCGATTGTTCTAAAATCTGCATCTTTCTACATTTACTTTATTGGATGGATTTTATATACTTTATTGGATCTATATTTACTTAATTGGATGTACTAAATAATTGTTACGAATATATATTAGTTAACTATTTTGAATTCCTGTAAGTAGTGCTCTGAATTTTAAATTATGATATTAATCTTTTCTACAGGGTGAACAAGATGATGCTAAAAGCGCACAAGGCTCAGATGCTGAAAGTGATGCTGGCAGTCAAGTGAATGAAGACGAGGCTGAAGAAGTTACTGAAGCTGAGGCTGCTGCAGAAGAAGAAGAGCAAGAGGAGGAACCGGAAGGTGAAGATTTAGATGAAGAAGATGAAGAGGTAAATGGTATAGAATGTAACTAGTAAAGAGTATCTGATTGTAGTAGTATAATTAAAAAGTTGTTTGAATTCTCAGAAACTTTTCAACCAATTTCGCTGAAATTTACATTTTGCCATTTGAAATTACATTCGTTAAATGATAAAAATTATAGATCTTGCGAGTAGATAAACAAATTTCATGCAAAAATTAGTAAGTAAGCCAATAGTTTCAGTCTACGTAATTTAGAAACTGACGGTCTGTGTGGCTGTAAATATTTTTTTTTTAAATTTCGGGACTAATTTTTCATTATAAATCTTAATTATAGGTTGTGTCAAGATGAAATCAATGTTTTCAAATGAAATTGGTTGAATGACTAATGATGACAGTTGTCACAAGTTTATCCCTAATAAATGCCTTTGAGTTTTCTGTGATACTTGTTTTATCCTGCCTTTAGTGTATTGTTATTTTAAATGATCTAATCAGCATTTATGAATATGCACTTATGAAAGAGAAGTTCATATTTTGTAATTATGTACCCTTGAATTTGACGTTATAAGGATAGCTGATTTGAAATTCTTTTGTAAAATTATTAACACAGTTTTATTATTTTCATCTTAAGAGATATATCTTTCATGCACAGTCTAGTTTATAATGATTCTTGGTTTAACAAGAGCCTGGATTTGATGAAAAAATAGGAAAAGACTGCGCTTGTCATAAGAAGCAAATATTACAGTTCACTCGCATTCGTTATAAGTGAGTTCTACTATATATATTAAAAAGGAGAGATTTTTAATCAGGCTTGTTTTTTTTGTTTTTTTCTTTTGAGGGTGGTAGCAATCAGAAATTTAGAAGTCTTGGTTCCTAGGTCTTTTGCTCTCTAAAGTCGTGTGGCAAGATTGTACATAAATTATTATTTTAATGAATTTTAAATTGGCTTAAAAAAAATAATTTTATCTGAAATGTATTGGTATGCTTGATTAATCTAATTGAGATATTTAGTTGATTTGTACTGAATATAGGGACTTACATGAACTTAATTGTAAAAGTATTCACAGTTAAATACTTTTTTTTTCTTCTTATATATATACAGATTTTCATTTAAGTTAGGCATAGCAAGTAATAATTAAATTTTTGTTAAATTTGAATGATGTGGGATTTTACCTGAGTCCGAAGAAGTTTCATTATATTTAAGAATGTTTCTGATCTTTTAGGTTCATTAATAAAACAATTAATTCTGTTTTCAACAAATCTCTAGCTTAAAGAAAAGTGTACAATTCATTGATAATTTCTCTAGGATGAAGAGGACGAGGATGATGAAGATGATGATGACAGAGATCGTAAGAAGCGCAAGAAAAAGAAATCACGTTATGGAGATTTCATTTTAGATGAAGCAGAAGTAGATGATGAAGTTGAAGAAGATGAAGAGTGGGAGGAGGGAGCTGAAGACATTATTGACCGTACTCGACCAACAGAAGAAGGTACATCTCGGGACATTGATAGTCATCGACGATTACAGATGATGTGGACGTAAGTATTATCTGATATAAAACTTCAAAGGGATTTAGAAATTATCCATAATTTTTTTTTGTTGCTGTTAATGCTATCTATAAAATAAATAATATCTATAAATCTGTAAAGTGCTTAGAAAATTGCTTACAAATTATTAGGTATTGTTCTCTTTATGATCCACTATACTCATCATGAAATCATAGATTTGAAATTCGGGTTATGAAGTCAAAGTTTGTCAATTATGCTGTGCACTGTTTAGTACAATCTATTACTGTAACCCAGTGTTGCCAGGTGCCGATAACCGTTCACCCTCCAGATAGCGTTGTAAAATCCCCTAAAATTTTTTTAAAAAACCCCAAAATTTTTAACTTAATGTATAAGTATTAAAAAATAGTACAAAAGTTATATAATGTATAGAAAACGTTGCTATTTTACATTTCAATCGTTACATTATCTTTAATTTCTACTAAAATATTTAAGATATTTTTTTCAATACTTTTTGACTCGTGCATTTTTTCATAAATATTTTATTATCAACGATATAGTCTTTTTAATTCCAACATTATGCTTAAATTTCTGATAAAATATCCGACATATTTTCGTCAATACTTTCTGATTTGTGTTTTCGCTGTTCAACATTTTTAACAAAGAAGAAGTGGGTACAAAGTTTTGACAACCATTAGAAATGTCATACCGAACGCGCAAAATAGCATCAGCTGTAGTTATAGACATTTTATTTCTTAATTTGTCTTTAATAATATTTAATATGGAGAAACATCTCCCCACAGTTGCATTTGAAAACGGAATACTTAATAAAGCTAAAACAGGAGTCGAGTTAAGTAAACTTAAGTCGAGAATCGAGCTAAGTAATAACTTACTACATTCCACAAAGGGGTTGAGTTCTAAAATTAAATTTTAATCTTTTTATTTTGGTTTAACATGTTGATTTTCATATTACCATCTCACACATTCAGTTATAAAATTTGATATTAGAACGTAACCAAAATGAAACTAGTAAAATTCACAAATAACCCTGAAACAAACCCCTAAAAACAAATTCCCCTAAAATACCCACTGAAGATTAAAATTCCCCCTAAATTTAGGGGGAAAACCCCTAATCTGGCAACACTGCTGCAGCCCTTCCTTTATTATAGCAGTAAGTACATGATGTACTGTTTGTTACTTTATATACACAGCATTATTTTAACCCCTTTAGAATGTCTGAACTGAACTGTTTGACTGTTTGTTCCAATACAGCGATTAAAAGTTTAAAAAAAAAACATTTACTGTGAAATATTGTTTATATTTCATTATTAAGAATTAGAAGTGTACATTGACTGACAAAGTATAACTAACAAAGGAGTCGCACTTGTATGATATATGGACATCCTATGCTGACATCAGAGTTATTAAAGAAGGTTTTGAGGCTTTCTTCTCTATGGGGTGTTGGCTTAATACTTGACCATGGTTAGGTGGTGTACTCCTTTAAATTTGTTTAATCTGTTTAATAATGTTATTTTCTTAATTATTTGTTATTTTTATTAAAAAATAATTTAAAAACTCCATTTTATTTTACATAAATAAGTGTTTTTATTTTAATCGTATTTGTTTTTATTTTAAAATTGTTTAAGAACTTTCTTTTGGTAAATAGCAGAAGTTTATAATAATAATTTGAATTGAAATACAATTGGAAACAAAGCAATAATTTCAAGCTATATTATTGCATTAGGAATTGTTTTTTATTTTATTTGAACACATAAAACATCAAAGTGATGCTTCAAGTTTGTTTGGATTGAAATAGAAAAATATTATTATTAACTACTAAATAGCAGTAAAAAAAAATTTTTTGAAGTTAATTCCACAGTTCTTTTTCTCTCTTTTTTTTTTTTTTTTGAAACGATGAAAATAATTGTGAGAAAGATTTAAACTTCTTCTTTAACTGCAACTGTTGGTAATATATTTAAAAAATGTAAATACTAATTTGTCATATTTAAATACTTTGTAAGTTTTTTTCAAAAAAAAACTTATTGATTTAAATGAATGAATCTTTTACATGAGTTGGTGCTCTAGTCGATTTTACCTGATTAGAGGACTTCATATTACAATGTGCATTTATTCTTTAACTTTTCTTAAAAATAATTATATAATTTTTTTTTAGTGTTATATAGCTCTGCTGTAATGGAAATCCTCTTTTTTTTTTTCAATGCTTCAATCAGAATCCTGGTAAATCATTGTTTACAGTTTTGAAATCTTTCTTCTAGATCCCAAAAGGAAGATGAAATTGAAGAATATTATAAGAAAAAATATGCCGAATCCTCCGCTGCTGAGAAGGGTTATGGAGATGGTGGGGATCATGAACTACCAGATGAAATTGCCCAGCAGACATTGTTGCCTAGTGTTAAGTATGTATATGTATAAAACTAATTTTTTATTAAGAAATTAAGTTCAAGTTATATGATAAACTCAAGTTTCTTGAGTTTTATGTTGTTTATATGTTATCTTAAATAATTAAATTTCTACAGGGACCCAAATTTGTGGATGGTAAAATGCCGTCTTGGGGAAGAAAAGCAGACTGTTTTACTACTAATGAGAAAGTTTATTGCCTATCAATACACTGAGGAGGTAGTATTAAAGTGTTTTTTTTTTTTTCTTTAAGAAAATATTTTATAGACTACATGTCTGCATTTGTCTTTGTTCTCTCTGTCTTCAAATTTTATTCTCATTATCATTGTATACACTAAGTACTGTTTATCCTAGTTTCGCTAAATCTCAATATGTTTTTTTTACTCCACCCAGAAACATTTTGAAATTTAAGAAATTTTTTAAAAATGTTTTAAGAATATTTTTTTTTTTTAATTTTTACTGAAATTTGAAATTGCAACTAAACTATAACAAAAAAGTCCTAGTAGTATTCAAAAATTTTAAACACTCACAAATTTTTTTTAATCATTTTATTTTTAAAACTTTGAAGATAATATTCATACTTAATATAGTGCAAAAAGCTTTCTGTTGTTTAATTTTATTGAAAAAGGAAACATTTGAGAGCTTTATGTATATTTGTAAACTGTAATGGTTTATAAAAAAAATTAGGCTTTTTCATTAAAAAGAAAAATCACCTGCAAAACTTTTCAAAAAATCTTTTTTTTTTCTTTTCTTTTTTTGCTGTTGTGTTATAACTTTTAAATTTTGAGTTGGCATTTTCTTTTAACTTCAGTTAATTTATATAGGAATGATAAAATTACATTAATAGACTTAACAGCTTTTTGAAGTTCCTGAAAGTCTTAACTATTTTGAACCAGTTGCTCTCTTTTCAAAAAAGTTATACACTATACATGTGTTGCTTTGTTGAATACCATTTTTAACTTAATCACATGACTCATGTTAATGCTTTCAATTTTAGCCCTTACAAATTAAAAGTGTTGTAGCCCCTGAAGGAGTAAAAGGTTACATCTATATTGAAGCTTACAAACAAACTCACGTTAAGCAGGCCATCAACGGTGTTGGTAGTTTGCGTATGGGTCAGTACCAGCAGATGGTAAGTACAAGTAGATTTACCAATTTAAATCTATCATAAAGTTTGTTTATATCAATTTAATTTTTAAGTGCAATGGACAATAATTAAACTTTCAGTTAAATAAAGGGAAAATAATGAATTTTTCAAAGTTAAAACTTACAGAAAATAAAAGTTTATAAAACTGAGTTGTATTTCACTAAGATATTAAAAGAAAAATAAAAGAAGAGAGAAATATACTTTTATTTAAATTACTTAATTTTATTGACATTCTACTTCAACAAGTTAGAAAATGTAATAAGTTCAAAGTTCAAAATTTTATGCTGTATATATAAAGTAACTTTGAACAGTAAGGTAATCAACTGTATGTTCAAGTTATTCTAGAGAGTATATTTGGTGAAAAACACCATGGTTTTCTTGTCTGCAATAAGATATTTCTAGACAGGACGTGATTTCATTTCTCAAAATATCCTCTCCTGCATGATTTAATTAGCATATTTAAAGTTAGATCTTGAGTAATTCAGATTGCGTCTTAGTTCTTAAATTTTTATCTCTAGATCAAAACAAGTTTGAATGTTTTAGTATTTATTTGCATACTGTTAACAAAATGTTGCTTACAGAAATTTGGGAAATAATAAAAAAGCATAAGAAGATGGAAAATGTTTTAAATATCATAGGAAAAAGATAAAATCACATTTTTTTTTAAAAAAAATATTTCTTATTCATTTATGAAACTAACTTTAAGGGGAAACGATATAAATTATGTTATGTAATACAGTCAAATCTTGATATCACGATCTTTGATAACATAAATTCTTTGGTATCATGGGAGGGAAAACTGATTTCCTTACATATTTGCTCTGTTGCTTATAGACCCTTTGCAGGCCTTGGCTGCCTCAACAGCACGCCTTCTCCAGCTCCCTCTGTCCATGGCAACTCCTCCAGTTCTTAAGTTTCAGGACTTTGAGGTCGTTTTCAGTGTCTTTGAGCCATCGAGTAGGTGGTCTACCTCTAGAGCAGGACCCCTGAGGGTTCTTGAAGGTGGCAATTTTTACAGGGCTATCTTCAGAGCCTCTCCATATATGTCCAAGCCATCTTAGTCGATTGCTTCGGATTATCTGCATAATTTGAGGATGTTTATAGAGCCCATAAAGTTCAAAGTTGTACCGTGTTCGCCAACATCCCCCCTCTGGTATGGCACCAAAGATAGTTCTAAGTATCTTTCTTTCAAATGTTTCTATCGGGCGTTGTACGTCAAGGTTTAAAGTCCAGGTTTCGTTTTCGTATAGCAAGACAGGCAGAATGAGTGTCTTATATAATTTTAGTTTTGTTTTTTGGCTAATAAAATTCGATCTTAGTTGACTTTTTAGTCCAAAAAAACATCTGTTGGCCATATTGATTCTATTGTCAATTTCAGGTTTCAGTTTGTTTTGGTCATTGATAATTGTACCAAGATACTTAAATTCTTTAACCTTTTCAAAGGAATGTCCGTTTATCTGCAAAGGTTCACTATAGTTTACAGTTGAGCTTGAAAACTCCATGAATTTGGTCTTGTCTTCGTTAATGGAAAGGCCCATATTTATAGCAGTTTGGTCAAATACGTTTCTCAATTATCCTCGATTTCATGCAGAAGTTAAAATTAATCATTTCTTGAAACAATAACAAAAAGGAGATTCCCCTGTTTAAAAGTAAAGTTCGCAAATTATCCTTTCCTGAAGAAGTGGACATACAAGACGTTTGCGCCGATAAGAATATCTGCTCATAAAATGAAAAAGGACATGCTAATTGAATGAATCACAATGAAACTAATATTTAGGAAGAAGTAGTTACTTTAGCCAAACCTAAATCGAATTGAAAATACAAAGGAGCTTATCAACTCTAATTTAGAGAATCTTTTAGTGTGACATTGAACAGAGTTTGAAAGAAATATTTTTTAAATGCTAACACGTTATACAATTTTGAAAATGTCGATCAAATTTAATTTAACTGAATTGTAAAGCAAGTAATTGATATTAGATTACAATATAAAATTTTCAATGTCAAGGAATTTTAACATCTTCCTTCGATTTCAGAGTGTTGAGGTTTGACTGTTTAATGTTTTTTTTTTTTCGCATATCATTCATTTACATTTATATGGTTTGTATTGATTTAATATACATAATTTATGCACATTGTTTTAGATGGTTCCCATCAAAGAAATGACCGATGTCCTTCGAGTCACAAAGGAGCAAACCCAACTGAAACCAAAACAATGGGTCAGATTGAAGAGAGGGTTATACAAAGATGATTTAGCACAAGTACGATGTCAATATTTTTTTGAATATTTAATTTATATTGAAAGTTAACATACACATTTAAGTATAAATCTTCTGAAATCAGTAATTTATTTGAATTTTCTTTCTAGGTGGATTTTGTCAATGTTGCTCAAAATTTCGTACATTTGAAACTCATCCCAAGAATAGATTACACAAAAAAGAGGGGTGCTTTGCGGACTTCGGTAATTAATTACATCATTATTTTATGAAACTGTATTATTATAATGTTACACACTTTTCAATTTTATGGTAGCATAACATATTGAGTTTATGTTTAGAGTTATAATTTAACAGAAATGAATTTAAGAATAATTATTACAATATTTAAATTTTTGTACAAAATAAATTTTTAATTATGATCATTTGTAATTATGATTTTTAAAACTTATGTTTTTTTTTTTAATCTTAAAAATATATTTTTTCTTTTTGCTCTAAACATATTGAAAATTATTTTAAGTGCATATTTTTTTAAAAAAAATTTCACTTTTTTATTTATGCTTTTCTGATATATTTTCATAAGAATAATATAAATAGTTAAATAACAAAATTGAATTTTCAACTTATTTTAATTTTTTTTATGTAAAGAAAAAAAAGTTTATACTTTTTTTTTCTCTCTCCTCAAAAATGCTTTTATTTTAGGAACCAGAAAAGCGAAAGAAAGGCCGAAAACCCCCTCCCAAACTATTTGATGTTGATGCCATCAGGTATTGTTTCACTTATATAAATATTTTCTAAATTACCTTTCAGATTTTATTTTACTAGAAATTTACCTCCATATATTTATTTTATTTAGAGCACTGGGTGGTGAAGTATCTACTGATGGTGACTATCTTATATTTGAGGGAAACAGATTTAGCCGGAAAGGGTTTCTTTTCAAGAGTTTCGCCAAATCAGCTTTGGTAATTTATCCATATAATTTTTAAGCATATAAGATCATCAGTGTAGGTTAAATTACAAATATTAATAAAACAAAAATACTGCAGATATCCTGTATACTCTAAATATCTCAAAGAACTGAATATGTTCTAAAAAGTAGAAAAATATATTTCAAATCGATAGTTGATAAATCTAAATACAACAATGATAATTTTATTTTTAAAAGTATGACAAAAACAATTATCAGGGTTGCCACAGGCGACTAAACAACTATTTGCAATTATTTTTGGCATGAGGCAACTATAGCAACTTTTTTTGCCTGAAAAGGCTTTAAAAGCAACTATTTTCAGGAAAAAGATACAGGGATGAGATTTTTCCGCTCTTTTTCACTTTTGTCTCTCGAATTTCAGCCTTTTTATCAAAAATTTCGCTTTTTTTATAATAAATATTCCGCTTTTTCAGAAAATTCAGCCACTGAAATATAATAATTATTTTTATTTCCGATTTTCAAAGGTAAACAGAAAATTCAAACTACAAAGCTACCAACCCTTTCCGCATTTTTATTTATTTTAGCTATTTTCTCCGCTTTTATGCACAAAATATAAGATTTTCCGCATTTTTACCCGCCAGCCAGATAGCTCGTATTTTCGTAATTCAAACGACGCTGCTTCGGACAAGTCTTTTAGAAGTCGCAAGCCTGGAATTTGCTAATATCTCGATTCTTAATCATGCGATTTTAATATCAAGCATAGCTTTTCGTATTTACGTGATTTAAAAGTTGCGTGTTGCGATTCTTATTTACGAGATTTAAAATCCGATATCGTGATTTGTATTTACGCCTTTTTAAAAACCTATGTAGTGATTCGTATTCACAAGAGTTTAAAATCCTATGTCGTGATTCGCTCATGCGGTTATAATATCAAACATCGATTTTCGTCTTATATGTGCTTTAAAAATAAGGCATTGGGATTTGCATTCAAAATTATGCCTCATTATTCTTATTTATGCAATTTAAAATTTATGCATCATGATTCGTATTTACATGATCTGAAAATTATGAATCGTGATTTTTATTTACGCTATTTAAAAATTTTATATCGCAGTTCGTATTTTTTAATTTTCAAAATCGTATATCTAGTTTCATACTCACGTGATTTCAAAATCCATAATCTTGATTCATATTCACGCTATTTTAGAATCCAGGATTGCAATTTGCATTCGCGCAATTTTAAGATCAACTATTGCGATTCTTGTAAGAAGTAAATTTTTTCTTGATTTAGTTACTCTAAACGTGACTGTTTTTTATTGATGTTTATTAGTATATGTAGGTGTTACAACATCAGCAAAACTGGAATAGAATATATTCAAAACTTTTATTTTGGGCTTGCGAAGAAGAAAAAGTAGGATTTGTCACACGATGTTTGAAGATGGGCTAATGACTAAATATAGCAAACATAAAAGATATAGCACTTAAAAAGTGATTCATTTTTTTTTTTTTTTTTTGGAAAAAGAGTTAATTAACTCAGCATCAAAATGCAAAATTTAAAAAATAATGTTGCTGTTATTTATGCTATGAAATGCAAAGTTCTTATCAAATGAAAAATAATTATCCAAACAGTTGCTGATTATCATGTAATTTTTCAAACTAAAATAGCAATTTTTGTATTTAAGGAGTTACTATATATTTCTACTTCACAGTTATTGATATGTTTCACAGGGCTCCAGTTAGATCAGATTATAATATAAACATAGTGATTTTCCAATTGTAAAAGTTGATTTTCTTTTCAAAATAATTTAAAAAGTCATGTTACTGATATATTTGCTTTAAATTATGTAACAGTATTTATTAACAGTATTTATTAACAGTAACAGTATTTATTAACAGAAATGGAATGTTAATGTATGTACTCAGTAGTTTTAATTTGCTAAACCAGGCAGTTTCTCAAGTAATAATTGTCTCTTATGTGAACTGAAGAAAAATATAATTTCTAACTTTATTTTTTTCAATTGGTAATTTTTCTTTTTACTAAATGTATCGATGTAATCATTTATATAATAATAAATTAGTACACAATTTTATGTCAACAAATTGTTATTTATTATCTTAAACTGTCTGGAATTTATTGTTAACCGATTGCGCGTACTTGGAAATTCAGCTTTTTTGCCTTTTGGCCAATCTCATCACTGAATCTGCAGTCCGCAATAGTTTCTGAACACATTGAGATTTTTTTTTCTTAAAAAATAAAAAAAGTTTAAAATTTTGAATTGCAAATTTGAGTCTTCACTTTTTAATTCGTTCAATCTGCACAGATTCCATTGTAAGTCTATTTCGTTTCTCAATTGCCTTTTCAATGGTTATATTTTGACGGCTATGTAATTCTGCATGCTTGATTAAAAAAAAAAACAATTTTTAAAACGATATTACGATGCCTGAATTTTGAATTTGACTGATCATTTTTCACAATATATGTATATATATATATGTATATACAGTCGAACCCCGCTATAGTGAACCTGGGATATAGTGAACACTCGGATGTAGTTGACTTTTTTANACAAAATTTTAGTCACATTTTTGATGAATTTTTGTTCTTATTTAGGTTGCCTAAATAAGAACAAAAATTCATAGTTTTCGGCTACTATTTTCATGCTTTAGACTACTAAAAGCAACTATTTTGTTCCTTTTTTTTTGTGGCAACCCTGAATTATGCATTAAATAGAAAAATCGGTTTACAACAAACTTATTGTGATTTTCCGAAAAAAATTCATTTTTTATTTCGAGAAAAATTTGACATAACTAGGTTTTGAGACAAACTTCTTCGACATAGGAATTTGAATTAACATTAGTTGAATATATAATATCTAGGTGGAAAATTTATTTTTTTACAAAAGTTTTTAAAGATATATTTTCATTAATTATTTTTTGCTTTTAGATTATTGATGGTGTGAAACCTACTTTATCTGAATTGGAAAAGTTTGCAGAGAAGAATGATGCTAAGGGCATGGAAATAGAGTGTATCCTTTTTACTAGTTTAAATTTTTACTCTGATAATTTAGACTTATGTGCAAATGTCAATTCTGTAGCAAATGTCAATTCTGTAGCAAATGTCAATTCTGTAGCAAATGTCCATTCTTTGTACTATTTTTCAATTCAATATCTGTCTTTATTTACAAAAAATTAAAATGTATCTAAGTGCAGTTTTCAGTGATTATGCTAGACTTTGTAAAGTATGTGACCCTGGGATCCCAGACTTCCATATATCTGGGTCCTTTCTAACTAATGATGTTTTTTTTTCCTTTTTAAAATAATATAATATAAATCTCTACTTTTAAGGTATACATGAAAAGTAAATGTTTTGCTGATCAGGGAAAAATAATTAGGATCAATCAAACACCTGCATGAAGCAATCATATACTTTGATACTAATGTTTGAGTATTTTCATTTCTTCTTTTTACTATAAACACTAAATTATTTGTATTTTTTTTAAAAGTTTGCAATTTCGCTAACATATATATGGTGTTGCAGTTTTTAAAATTTTTTTTTATCGGTATTGGCATTTTTTGGCGCAGGGGATCTTATAACCTGTTTTTTTTCTTCTATACATCTGAAATGTTAGCACTTTTTAAAATTTTTTTTTAATTATAAATGTTAGAAAAATAAACTTTGTTGTCATTTTTGTCTGTCAGTATCATATCATTTATATACAATCGAACCCCGCTATAGTGAACCGTCTGCGGACTCAGTAATGTGTCCACCATAACCGATGATTCACTATATCCAAATTTTTTGAAGAATATTTTTTGCATAAGACAGTTGAATGATTGAAAATTGGCTNAGGGATATTTATACTTTGAATTCAGTTTTGATTTCAATTGATAATAATTAAGTAATTCCATAGTGTAATAAGGCATTTGCCTTTACTTTAAAAGGTATTGTATATAACATTAAAACTTACAATTTAAATAAATTCTCATTAAATAAATTTTTGAGCTGCATTTATTTAGATTATTTTGGTTTTATATTTTGATTTATTGAAAATTAATTTAATTTCTTTAATTTGCACTTTTAATGTTACTATCTCTCTATTTTTAAATTTTTTGAAATTTGCTTCAAAAATAGTAATTAATTTCTCATGTTACTTGTGTGTAGTTTTTTTCCAATTTTTAGTTTGAAACAAACTACATTTTAACCATTCAAAAACTTTTACCCCTAGGCCTCTTGCTGTAAAACCCTATCCTGTATTAAGCTAAAAAAATATTAAGTTTAGTTAGTTTAAACCCATAAACAGTTTATTTTAAAGGGAAATAAACTTAGTAATGTTATCAGGGGTCTGTCCAGGCCAAATTTACTACCCTTTAGTGGTACCCTCACAAATTCAACAATATTTCTTCTTAAAATTTTATTTTTGTATTCCATAAGAAACGATAAATCCATGTTTATAGTCTTGATTTTTTAATATAATTTTGAATTTTTACATATTATGTTTAAATTTTCACAAAATAGGTACTTCTCAAAAAAACCTAGACAGACCCCTGGTCATTAAAATTTTAAAATTATATAATAAATATATATATTTTTTTTGCATTAATTATAAATTCATTAGTCAATTCTGTAATTTCTTTAAAAAAAATTTACACATTGTTAAAATTATTTTTGTTGGACCTTAATAAAGATATAGTGAGTGAAACAGGACAAGACGATGGAAGCCATAGTTTTTCTCCTGGTGATAATGTTGAAGTCTGTGAGGGAGAATTGATACATTTACAGGGTAGAGTCATTACTGTGGATGGTAACAAAGTCACTATGCTACCTACCCACGAGGATTTAAAGGTAATTATAATTTTTTTTTTTAATGATCCGTCTTCGTTTTGATTTTTTCTAACATTTTATTCTATTTTATAGATGACTGTGTGTAAATTCTTATGTTCAATTATGTTATTTCAATTAATTAATGTTAATTATTGACTAGGATCCACTTGAATTTCCTGCACATGAGTTGAGAAAATATTTCAAAATGGGTGACCATGTCAAAGTAATTGCTGGAACATATGAGGGAGATACTGGACTGATTGTAAGAGTGGAAGAAAAGATTGTTCTGTTATTTTCGGATCTGACGATGCACGAGGTTAGTCTATTGAAGTTGTGAAAAATTTTCTTAAATGGTTTTCGACAACATGTATTTTATTTAGTTGTTTTTTATGAGGTAGTTAATTTGAAAATTGTTTTAAGAGAATCTAAGAAGTTTTTGTTTTTCTTTTAAAGCATTCTAAAAGCTCTAGTTTTATCAACAGGGCCTTAATTTTCATTTTGATCCTGCTCAGATTACTGTTCTTAGAGTGAATTTTATTGATACTTTTGCATTTTGGTTAATTTTTTGTTTATTTTGGCGAAGATTCAGAGTATAGAGAAAGCAATGTTCCTAACTTTTTTCCTACCCTAGTTTAAACCTTAATTTTTTATAATTTATTTTTGTTCTATTTTATTGCTTTAATTTTTTTTTTATTTGATTAAATTTTCTTCATATTTTTCTTTTTTTCATATGAAATAATCTTTCTAAAAAAAACCCAACTTAAACATTACAAATTTAAAAAATAAGAAACAAAATCCTGCTAAATTGTTAAAGTAAATTTAGTCTGATTATTTTTTTAAGGTATTATATTAAAAAAATAACGTTTTAATTTAAATACTTTATAGTATTAACACTTTTCTTGTACCCATTCTACATTTAATGAGAAAAAAAAAAATATGCTGACCTGGAAATTGTAAGATTTTTACCTGGAAAAATCACTGAAATTTGAAGCTTGATTTGAGTGGCCACACAGAAGAATAAGAACATAATTTTTTTCATTGAGAAAAAGAATTATTAAGTAGGAAATCCATTTTATTGTTAGAAGTATATAACTGTAAAATATGGTTTTTATGTTTGTGTTAGTTTATAAAATGTATTAATGTTGTATTATCAGCTCAAAGTCAGGCCTCAAGATCTACAGCTCTGCACAGACATGGCCACTGGTGTAGATTCTCTTGGACAATTCCAATGGGGAGATCTTGTTTTATTAGAGTAAGTTCAATATTACTATTGCTCTAGAAGCTTTGAATCTATTATGGATTTTGAGTGTAGTTGTGGTTACCGATAAAAAAGAAGTTACATTATAATTTTATTAAATACAAAGGGCCAGACCCTCAAAAATTATATATTAATAAATAGCATAATTAATAAAAAAAAATATATGTTATATAAAATTAAATGTCGCTGATTGGAAGAGAGAGAGAGATGTAACCTTGGATTGGTTTTATGTTCTTGACAGGATTAAACCGTTGTTCATTAATGTGATACGAAAGCGGTTATTTTAAGCTAAAAAAATATAAGGTTAACTTTTTGCCACAACATTCGTTAAATATATTTTGCAAATCTGAAATATTTTTCAGTTTATTAATATTAACTCAATCTAGTTTTACCACCATATTTTTCATCTTGCTTAGCTTACTCCAGAATTATAAAATATTTTAATACACATTCTTTTTTCTTGACAGGAAAAGTGAATTTTACTTCAGAGATGTGAAGAACAATTACATTTTAAATTATAGAAACCAACTTTAAAAAATAATGTAAAAAGTTAAAATAAATTTATTTTGCACTTCCCATCATTTATCAGAATTATGAAATTTCAAACTTCCAACATTTCCATTTTGCTATTTGGATTCAGATCCTTGCTTTGATATTCAGGTTATTTTTTCTAACTGTTCATCTGACAATTTCTTTTGTAATTGTTATCTTGTTTAGGATTAAAAACTCTATCATATTCAGTTGTTTAAAGGGTGCTCCTGTGGAGTTTGAATTTAAGGGGAAATGGAGAAAAAGTTTCAATGAATTTTTAGAATGCACCATGTTTTTCTTTTCTTTCTTTTTTTCTTTTTAAAAATTTTTTATATAAAATGCAAAACTCGAAACTCACTTGCCTAATTTTCAGGATTATTTCCAATTTTCAATGCTAAAATATGTTTGTTGAGGCGTTAAAAATATACCTATACAGGAATGAATGTTTCTTATTAAATCTGTGTTGTTGTTTTTTATTAAGTGGGGTATTTTCATATCTTTAAAAGGCAACAATACTTTCAGCACATTTATGTTTTGTCCCAAGTTTTGCCAACTTAACTAGAAATATAAACAGGATTATGGTGCATATAATATAAACATATTAAGATAATTATATTTCGAACACTCACATGCATCTGTATACTTCATAAACAAATCTTATATAATTATTTGACTCTGCATTCTATGATTTCAAAAGTGTAATTTTTCAAAAAAATTTTTATTAGACTTAATAGTTCTCTATGTGTTATTCTTAAAGAAACAAGTAATCAGACTTTCAAATTTATTTTCAGTGCACAGACAGTTGGTGTCATTGTTAGATTAGAAAAAGAAAACTTCCATATACTTAATATGCATGGCAATGTAAGTTTTCTTCGTATTTTTCACAATTTCATTTGGATTTAAATATTAAATAAATGATGCAAAACATTGGCAATTGCAGGTGGTAAAAGTGAAGCACCAGAGCATTACTAAAAGAAAAGATACCAGAAAAGCTGTTTCTCTTGATTCTGAGCAAAATCAAATTCAAGCTCGAGATGTTGTGAAAGTGATTGATGGCCCACATTCGGTCAGTTGTTTTTGTGAAATTTTTTTTTTAACTTGTAAAAAGTGTTTAAAAACATTAAAACTTTTTTTTCCAGTTGTAACATACTAAAAGTTATTTTAGATGCAATCATTGACATGCAAACTCTGCATTTCATTCAAATGATCTTGTTGATATTAAAAGTACTGTCAATACATAAAATTCAAAAATATTTCGTTTTAAATGTTCCATAAGTGACTCACCCTTGATTTTAAANTTTTTTTTTTTTTTAACTTTTAAAAGGACGTTTGAAAACATTAAAGCTTTTTTTCAGTTGTAACATACTAAAAATTATTTTAAATGCAATCATTGACATGCAAACTCTGCATTTCATGCAAATGATCTTGTTGATATTAAAAGTACTGTCAATACACAAAATTTAAAAATATTTAGTTTGAAATGTTCCATAATTGACTCACTTATTACGACCCTTGATTTGATGTGACCCAGTTTTAATAAGATCCCATTTTAAACTAGGAAATTGTCTGTTAAGTGTTAAATAACTTATAATATATAACTCTGTTATTATCATCATATTTTGGATTTAATGAGGAATTTTTTCAAGAATTTCTATAAATTGTTTTATTGAGTCAAAAAAGAAATTGTTTCATTCTGTGTGAGAGTTCCATTACTTCTAAAATTAAATCCTCTCCTTTAGTTTAATTTATTTTAATAATATGTTAATAAATGATGAAGAGTGAAAAATTGAAGTTCTCAATATGTCTTGCTGTGAATTACACAATTGTTGCAACAGAAGATTTTGTTATGCAAACCATTAAGGTGATGCTCATGTGCATGTTCCTGGCCAAATGTTTATAAAATACAGATTTAAACAACCATGTTGAGGTAACTATGAAGCCACAATCATTGATATATTTTATTACTTGATTCTTCGCAACCACTATATTCTGTAACATTGTCTATCGTAGCTACTTCCTCCTAAATATCAATTTTATTTGGATTCTCTAAAGAAGCATAGCCTTTTCCTATTTTATGAACAGGCATTTTTATCTATACACAAATCTTGCTTGTCTACTTCTTTAGGAAAGAATCATTTAGGGGGTTTCTTATCAAACGTGAAAATATTTTCCTTTGTAGGGTTGTAAGAAATTATTCATACAATTGTTCGAGAAAAAAGGAAAAAAATTTAAGAATTGGAATTGAAAAAAAATTTCAAACTCTTCATAAATCAAGGGGAGAGTTTTTAGTGATCAAGAATGTTTCTTGAAAGAGTCGCGAATATGAATTTGGTTGAAATAGTTTTGTTCCTGTTAATAACGATGCAATACTGTGTGTACTAAGTATGGAATCATTATATTATTAAGTTTATTATTATAACTGTTCATGAAGTACTATATTTTTTTATGAGGTGTATTTTCTCAAAATATTAAATCCCCTAAACTTTCTTGCTAATGTATAATTTTCTTGAAAGAAATTTCATATTACGTTCTTAAAAAGCAACTCCACATGGTATTAACAAATTGTTTATTTTTAACAGGGTAGACAAGGTGAAATCAAGCATCTGTATCGTAGCTTTGCTTTTCTTCATTCTCGTATGATGACAGAAAATGGTGGTATTTTTGTTTGTAAAACAAGGCATCTTGCTCTAGCAGGAGCTGGAAGTGGGGGTGGAAGAGTATGTGAATAATTTTATAGTTTAGTTTGAAATTAATTTTTTTTCATTTTTAGTTAAGAGACAAATTTTATTAACATATCTTCTTTTTTTCAATAGCCTGTGTCTGAAATCAGTATGCGCTCACCTTTTCATGCTGCATCCCCTCGTATCAACAGTCCAATGCATCCCTCTGCTGGTGGCAGAACTCCAGGGAGTGGCTTTACGGGAGGAGCAAGTCCTGGTCCTGGTGGTGGAATGGGTAGAGGTAGAGGTGGAAGGAGAGATAATGAATTGATCGGTCAAACCATTAAAATTACTCACGGGCCTTACAAAGGTAATAAATTGTATTTTTCATTCGTCTCCATTCACATTTTATAACTTTCTTAATTTGCTTTACATCAATCAAAAAACAATCCAGTTAGATTTTGTAACCGTTGTTGAACAGCCAATCCAATTTTTGGGAGGGGACCACTGTTAGCCTGACGGCAAGGGGACTCTAGCCCATGATCTGTCTACCACTGAAGATATTTCACGTCAGCACTGTCGTTGGTGCATGCTGAATGCGGTTTCGTATCGACTAGCCATCTCTGGGATTCAAACCCGGTTCACTTCATCGGAACGTGAACGCTCAATACCCTGAGCTAGCACTGCTCAATCCATTTATATTGATGAGATCTGCCTTATAGCTTTTAAAGTGTTGTTAGTAGTTGCCTGATTATATATTTTAAGTCATTTCAACTAGGTTGGTATATCCTGGTTGGCTGGGCGCTGAACTCACGCTCATGAAAAGGGGAGTTTGAATCTAGCTGGATAAAGTCTCCTCGTGTTGTAAATGGTGACTGGTGCTTAATAAATCTGTTGGGTCACAAGTCCCCCATGTTCCCATTACAAATTATACCTCTGGGGAGTACTGATTTGGAGATCGATTGTTCTCTGGTTCAGTAAAAGATTATAATCTGCGAATGTATGAAATGTCTATCCATAGATAACGTCACTGGAAAACAAGAATAATCGCCACCCTTTGCCCTCGATGCCAACAATGTCGTTTCAACTAATTTTTGAGCTGTTAAGGTCATTTATTTTATTGCAGGAAAAGACAAATATTAAATGTTATTGGAAAAATTTATAGTTCTCAAAGCATTTTTATATTCTATTATATTTCGCAATCAACAGTTTGTGTGCAAAATAATCTAATAAGGAATTTAAACGGGTATAAAATTCAATGGGAATAAAATACTTCTCACATCAAACACTGTAACTTACAGCAGTGCATTTTGGTAAAAACAAGCTTTCCCTTATCAGGCATTGGAAATTTAACATTGACTGTATTCCCATTTCTTGATGAGATTGAGTAAACTTGTTCTATTCAAAATGCATTGCTATGTTCTGTGTATAAAAAGTCTTTAAGATTTTAAAATTAATTTTAAGTTAACTTTTGTATAACGTCCACTAAATTCCTATGATCTTGCTGCATGGAAATAGCTCATAGTTTGCTATTCTAATTTTATGTTGTTATTTCTTTGTTTTAATGTAATCGTGGGGATTTAAGTTTAGACTATGTCAACCTTCATCTATCTAAAGGTACCTCAAGATGGATTCAAGTTAACATGCTTTATATAGTAGTGATTTGTTATTTAATATTTGTAGTGGTAGTTAGTTTTGCCACATAATAATTTTTTATGTAATAATTTTTTATGTATAATATATTTTACAAAGTCAGTTTTGTCAAAATTGTTTATCCCATAGGTCACATTGGTATTGTTAAGGATGCTACTGAAGCCACAGCTCGTGTAGAACTGCATTCCAAGTGCCAAACTATTTCAGTAGATAGAACTAGATTAGCTGTTGTTGGGTATATTATTTTAATTTTTCTGTACGCTAACATTTTACACTGGATTAAATATGCATTAATTATATTTTCATTCTCATAGTGGACCCAGTAAAGGTAGCGTTTCCAGTTACAGTCGTACTCCCATTTATGGCAGCCAAACTCCCATGTATGGTGCTGGTTCAAGAACTCCCATGTACGGCTCACAAACACCACAATACGAATGTATGTTATTTGTTTGTACTCTCTTTACTAGTCTATAAATATTTCTTATTGTGTAATAATAAAGTACGAATTGTTGAGTTCTCATTTGCATAGCTACCAATTTTGCTACTGGATTTTGCTAGTTTCTACTGGTTTAATAAAAATTCTCCTGGATTTTAGAAAAATCCCTTTATTTTAAAATATTTTAGAAAATTCCCTAAAATTGAGTAAGTTTCCTAAATAAATCTCTGTTGAAATTAAAATTTTTACACCGATTATTGCTTGCTCGAATATTTAAATAAGTTTTGCTAATATATAATGAAGCAAGCCTCATGTATAGAAATCAGTTTAAAACTTTTTTTTTTGTTCTTCAATGTTCAGTTTATTTTCATTTAGAACGCGCTTTTTGAATTAATTAAAAATTCTTAATTATTTTATGAATTAAGTGCCTATTACTATTCAAAATTATGAGTAAACATAACTTTTCGAGAAACTATAAAAGTAAACATAATACACAACATTTCAATCATATTTAATGCCAATCATGACTGGAAAATATTGCAGCTTTTATTTTTTGATGATCATAAAAATTCCTAAAATTCCCTATGAGTAAATTATTTAGTTCATTATGGAACAATTATTATGAAATTTATATTTCTTAAAATCTACTAGATTTTTTCCTATTTAAGTTGGCAGCTATGCATTTGTGTTTATTAGGATCTTTTAAGTGACTTACACTGTAAATAGAATTAATTTTTTAAAGCTAGAATAACTTTTTGCATGGTTAGGGACAAATCAGTTATAAAAACAAAGCAAATAGACGTTTTAAAATCATGGTTTTAAGTCTATAAATACTTCTCATTGTGTTATAATAAAGAATGGATTGTTGAGTTCTTACTTGTGTTTATTGTGATTTTTAAAATGACTTCCATTTAATAAAACATTCCTTTTAATGAAACAGTAATTAAGAACTGGAATAAATTTTTCCATGTTTTTGGGCTAATCAATTATAGAAACAATTTTAATCTTTATGCACTTTGAGAAATTCTTCATTATTAAATTTTCCAGAAGCTAAACATGTATGAAAATGTTCATTAATATTTAAATCATAATAGCGTTAGCAATGAAAGATAAAATGTTTAAGACGTATGATTATTCAGTTTTTACAAAATTAATTTTTTTAGTTTGCGTTATACAAGAGTTAAAACCTGGTTGGAAGAAAAATTTAATGTTGTTACTTTCATAGAAATTTTTTTAGAAGGAAATTTATTTTTGATTTTCAGCTGGAAGTCGTACACCCCACTATGGAAGTCAGACGCCATTGCATGAAGGTAACCGCACTCCCAGCCATGGGGGAGCCTGGGACCCCTCTAACGCCAACACTCCAGCTAGGTACAATTTTTTTTTTTTTTCATATTTTTTCTGTATTTACTACATTTTTACACTAAATTTATAATAGGGCAGCATAAATATATCTTTTTTCCATCAAGTGAAAATTTCTTAATTTTAAGGCAGGGATTCTTTGGATATCTTAACCTTTTTTTTTTAAATGACTTGTTTGATTTAGTCTAAAAATTGCCCAAAACTGCCTTAAAATATAATTCTAACAAAAAAACCAACTCATCTGAAATTCTAAATGTATTGTTTGCTATGTATTGCTAATTTTAAATAATATCTTAATTAAAATCCCATAATTTATTTTATTTATATTTATAAAATGTAAAATAATGTACACATTTTTTATATACTCAAATAATATCTGTAATATGTTGCTCTTGAAATTCATGATAAATTGAATAATTTAAACAAAAGCAGTTATTCCTTTTTAATATATATTTTAAATTATATTTTTGATATATTTTAAAGATGTAGAATATATATTAGTTTGATGTTATAGCTTTTTCCCTAGTTTGAATCTTAAAACTACACTATAAAACCCTGTTTTGGATAGTTTAAGACTGTAGGATGAGAACCACATTTTTTAATTGTTGAAATATTAGATTACATTTGTGCTATAGGTTATAGCTCTTTTCTCAGTCTTTAAATATTGCTTTTAAAAAAAACCTTCTAAAAAATCTAGATACAGGCATAAGAGTTTTGGTCAAGATGTGGAAAACCATAACTTTTGTGACACCTAAATATTACCAACCTTAGGTTCAATTAAGTAATAAGTTTTAAATGATATGAATTTAAGGACTTACTTTATTTGTGTAAATGTGGATTTAATTATGACCCTTGTTATCCTAACAATCAGTCACCAATAAAAATTAAAGTTCTCGAAACAAAAACAAAAATTGTTTTCTTAGGTTGTGGGCTCTTAATTAATTGTAATAGAATTGTTTTGAAATTACTTACCTGTTTAGTGAAGTAAATTTGATAGTTTTTCTATCTTTCTCATTCAATATTTTGAATAATATTTAAATGAATATTATGACTGCTGGTGGATGGATTTTATTATACAAGAAGGCTTTGCCGCAAGCTGCTTTCTAATTTTCAAGATAACTGTGTGATGCTCGCTAGGTTTATTATCTCTTCAGATTCAGAATGCAAATTAGCTACTCTTGCTAAGTGTTATGAAGAATAATACTATTATTAATTATTCAAAGCAGTAGAAAATGTTACACAAATGCAAACCAAATTATTTTTTTCATAAAAATTTAATACATTATTTATAAAACTGCTGCTAAATAACTTTTTACTCTTTAGAGGACAGCATACGATATGTCATTTTGTGAGTTAGCAAAGTTAACTGTTTGCCGAGATTATTGCCAAAACCTAAATTTTTGTCTCAAATTTTTTCATATTCAAAAGATATACTGATTCTGAAGCTTGCTTGTAAGTTGTTGCTGAGATTTCTTCCTTGCTAAACATTCCCTGCATGCAGAGCTCTTTACATAACAGAACCAGGCTAACATCTCCTGACTTCGTAGGCAAGCAAATGTTGAGGCAAATATTTGCAGAAAATGAAATAGTGTCCATCACACATTGTCCTTTATTGATTAATAGCCTTAATTGAGGCTAATCTTGGATAATTGGAGTTGAATTTATGTTTCTTTCACATGTTGGTTCATAATGTTGTCATCTTAATACATTAATGAGATTCTATTAATATTTCTTTTGGTGTATCATACAAAATTAATCATACTTTCAGAGGGAGCAGTGATTTTGATGAATATCCTTTTGAGGAACCTTCTCCGTCACCAGCTAATTATGCAGCCACTCCTGCTTATCAACAAGACCAGGGTCCTTTCACCCCTCAAACTCCTGGAAGCACCTACGCTGACCATAATTACTCTCCTTATCAGACACCTTCTCCTGGAGGATATCCTGGTAACTTTTATTTTTTTGTTTCTCTGTGCTTGGTATGCATAGAAATTTACAAAATTTCATTTAAAAATCTTTCCATTATCTACTTTTTTATTTCACTTTAATTATACCTAAATTATATTTGAAGGTCTTGTTAATGGCCAGTGCAAAGAATAAAATCTGAATTTTTTGAATCTTTAGGGCACATAACATAGTAAAAAAATTTATTGCATGCTGCGGAATATTGTGCTATGGTTTATGGTCTTGAAACTTAATTATTTTATAGCGGGAACACCAAGTCCATCTACATATGCTGCCACCCCCAGTCCTTCCGGATATGCTGGAACACCATCACCAGGGGGTTATGGTTACAGTCCGATGACACCAGGAGCACCACCCACCCCTGGAGGTAATCATTTCTTTGTTTTTTTAAATTTAAATATTACAATAAATTTATTTCTGAAGTCTAAACTAAATTTAAAAATTCTGAATCTTTAATAAATTATTTGAATCTAAATTGTTATATTCATTATGAGGGCTAGAATGTTGATGATAAATGTTTTATTTTCATCCATTTTTGTGGTTCCCCTCCCCCCTTCCTAAGAATTATTATTTTTTCCTTGTTAAGTCATTTTTAGATTTTCTTTCTTTAATCACTTTTTATAAATTTTGAATGAAATTTTTTATTTGAAGAGCATTTTGTTAGTAAATCAGTTTTTTTCTTTATGAATTAGTGTAAATGTTGCATTGAATCTTATGTTTTAAATATCCTCCAATTACAAATTTTGATTATGATTTTAAGATATAAGAAGTTGCTTTTAGACAATTGGCAATCAAGAGAATATAAAAAAATCAATTCAATTCTGATATTCTTCAAAAAAAAAAATTAAAAATAGTAATTAAATCTTATTTTGAAGAATTTTTAGATCAACAACATCCTAGAGCCCTTGTTTATTACCTTGTTTATTACTTATTGCTTACTGGATTTTCCAGTAGACTACTGGATTTTGCCAGTTTCCCCTGGTTTACTGGTTTAGTAAATATTCTCCTGGTTTTTATACAGTTTAGAAAATTCCCCAAAATTGAACAAGCTCCCTAAAAAAATCCTTATCAAAGTAGATTTTTTGCACAGATTATTATTTGCTTAAATATTTAAACAAGTATTACAAAATATATAATAAAGCAAGCCTCAGTTATAAAAATTAATTAAAATTTTTTTTTGTTCTAAAATGTTCAATTTATTCTTATTCAGAATCCCCTTTTTAAATTAATTTAAAAAAATTTAACTATCTTTCATGAATTAAGTGCCTATTACTATTCAAAATTAAGAGTGAACATAGTACATAAATAACATTCTAAGTTCATTTAATGTCAATCATAACTAGAAAATATTGCAGTTTTTTTATCTTGTCCACTGTAAAAATCCTTAAAATTCCCTGTGTATAAAATATTTAGTACATTATGCAACAATTATCATGGAATTTATATTATTTCGTAAAATCTACTGGATTTTTTCCTATCTGTGTTGTCGGCTATGCATGAGTTTTTTAATAGGATGAAAGGCACATAATGAAGCTTATCTAAACTGACAATTTTTATTTAAATGCAAAAAGACTTTTTTAATTGAAGTATTGTGTTTGTTTCCTTTTTTTTAATAACTTGGTTGTTTTTCTTTATTTGCTTTTAAATATGCAGCATTTATTATATGTTTCGTGTTTCCAGGGATGGATCCTACCTCAGTCGAATGGCAAACCACAGATTTAGAAGTCGTCATAAGAGACACACATTCGGACGATGGATTGAGCGGTCAAACCGGAATCATTAGAGGAATCTCAGTATGTAAAATGAAATTCATTAAAAAAAAATTCTCAGTTTTTTATTATAATTCTGTAAAATTTTATGATAAAAATGTCAGTTCTTCTGAAGGTTTTATTTCATACTAAATAACATATGGAAAATTTAAGTGCTAAAATGGAAAAATTAAGTACTAAATTTATATACACCGTTGAACTCGCTTATAACAAGCCATTATCCGGATATTTAGTGATGAGCCATAAAACGAAAACATTATTTATTTATTTTTTGATAGCCAGGTTGCAAATGAGAGTTTTTTGGGCCAATAGTTTTATCTGCAGAATAATATATCACAACTAAGAAACTATGTGACTGTTTAAAGCAAATTAACTAGCTTCTTTTGTAAAATGTACAAAGGTTGAGAATTACATAAGTTAGGTATTGTGTTTGTAATTTGGTAAGTTTGTAGATTTTTTTCCTGCTTTCCATGATATAAGCCATGATGATATTTCCATCCATGATATACCATGATTTTCCATCATATAAGCACTCAGTTATAACAAGCAAATATTAGGGTCCCTTTGTGCTTGTTATAAAAGAGCAGTACAGTGATTCGATTAGACTACAGGTGCTTAAGTACCTGGGACTTCCATATTTCTGAAACCCTTTTTATTAAAAGATTCCCAGAATGAAATATGAATTCTCAACCTCATATTAATATTCACATTCGTAATTATTCTAGCTTTTGACGTACAAAATAAGGAATTAAGAAAACAAAAAGAATTATATTTGAAAAATTGAGGCCGTAAGTAAGAATGATTAAAGGCCTGTATCAAGGAAAATCAATGATTAAGTTTGAAACCCAAAATGCTACTTTTCTCTTTCAGCTCTTCTTTTTTGTGAATATGTATTGGAAGTTTGGTTGAAGTTTTGCTTACATAAATCAGCATGCATTCTTTTCAGTGCTTAAAAAAAGATTCGTCCCAGGAATGCATCACTCCTTATTTTTCTTGTTTCCTCAACAATGTTTCTCCTATTGGCCGTGTTTTAGTGCATAAGTTGAATAACTTATTTATATACATAATATTATCATAAATGAATTTATTTAGTGCATGCTCACCTTGACTATCTTAATGCTTTTTTCATTTTCTGTATTTCTCATTTATTTATGTTAGATACTGATAAATATTGTTGGATATTGATAAGTATGAAAAATTTATTTTCAGTCAATTATCACCTTATTAATGTATGATTTAACTTTTCAATTGTATACTTGTAAGGGACGACATTAACGTGTGATGTTTCCAGGCATTCAATTAAAACTAATAAAAAAATTCAGCTTGATAATAAAACGAGCCTTGAGAGGACGCCATACCATGCGAGAATCTTTTTATTGTAAATTCTCTTTCTCCTCTATAAGTAATTTAAGTTCTAGAAAAAGTTAGTACAAGCAAACCTAGAATAAGTCATGATGTTTCAGATACTGAAAAGATATTCTCAAAACATCTAAATGAAAACAAATTATGCGAAGATAACTTAGGAATATGCAATGAAGAAGTTCTCTTCAACAATTTGTTTACATTTCGATATTATGAAACCAAATGAAACTGCGTGGCTTACTCTAAGTTTGTCTGAACATACTTTTTCTATACCTTAAATCAGTTATGGAGGGGCATTTGCGATGTAAAGTTTCTCCCGTGGTATGGCGTCCTCTTAAAGCTGTAGCATTTAGATGTCATGCACAACCATGTGATTAGTTGCAAGCAATAAATTGTCCAAAGTACTATACATAATTTAAGGGATTTGCCTGCACTGCACATTTGATATGAAGTAAATTGCTATTGGTCATTGTCACACAACTTTTTTATGCAACAATTTTAAGCTACTGTTATTTGTTTATTGTTTGTGCACTTGTCAGATTTGTAAAAACAATAATTTTATGTTATAATGAAACTTGACCTAGCAGAAATTTTTTATTAACAGCAAGTATCTGCCCAAATAGTATTTTAATTAGATTATCTGAACTATATTGACCGTACTTTGTGTTTTGTAGGGTGGAATGTGTTCTGTCTTTTTACCCAAAGAAGACCGTGTTGTAAATATCATGGGGGAACATTTGGAACCTGTTACTCCCCTACGAGGTGATAAGGTAAGCACTTTTTCCCTTTTAACTTTGTATCAAAGTTTTACAAATTTTTCCTGATCTGAATTAATGTTGTTTCTTTGTACCATTTTAACGTCACAGGGATGCTACGCCTGCGCCATTTGCGACAAACTGAGACAAAACGGCATAACTGCGCCATTTTGCGACATTCAGCTCAGTTTCTGCCAAAGCTGCGCCATTCTGAGACAAAACGTCCAAAATTTGGCAAACCTGAATTCAGTTTCAAATATTTATCCGCATTGCCGTGAGTCATTGGAGATCATTTTGCCGTTCACGTCTCCAAGGGATGAAAGACTTCCACGGAAATCCGCTTTTTTCTCCCAATTTTTAAAATTTTCGACCATGTTCCAAAAACGAAAATTTTTAGGGAGTCCAATTAGAGAAACCCAAGCGGCCGGAACGATAGTCGGATTCCTGCGACTTCCGCTATAGAGTGGAAAGGAGTCTAAGTGTTTCGTTTCGACCACCGATGTATGATTTTTTTTTTCGTTTGGCTGATTTTCGGAATTTTAAATATTAGGAATTGCGCTGGAATATGCTAAAATCGCGATTTTTAATCAGACGATTTTAATATCAATCATCGATTTTCGTATTTAACTTATTTAAAACTTATGTGTTGCGACTTTTTTTACGCTGTTTAAAAATCGTACTAGCAATTCCTATTCACTCAATTTAAAAATTCAATATCGCGATCTGTATTNGATCTGAATTAATGTTGTTTCTTTGTACCATTTTAACATCATTAAATAACCAATGTCAGTTGGCTAGTCAAATGTCCTTCATGAATTTTGAATATTCAAATTAATTAGGACTATCTTGTCTGATCATCAAATATTAAAGGTTTCATATTATTTTGAAGTTATTGGGAAATGTTTAAAAAAAAATGATAATTTCACTCATGATTTTGTTTTTTGTTGCAAGAGATTTTTTTAACAGCTCTTAGACACTTTCACCTTACAGATTCTGCATTATGACATTGTTTATTATATAACACATGGTTATAAACTACCATTTTACAACATAAGTAATTTAGAGCACATTTACTGATGTATAAAAATCACTGTTGCATTAGATAAATATATGCTTAATGCCATTGAGTAAAAAGACATAAAGTGTCAGTGTTATAACCTCATTAAAATGAACCTAAAAGGTAAACTTACTGAAGGTGAACTCTTCTATGGTCAAATAATTGAAAATTTTTGTTTGTAATTTTTATTTTAACATCCTAAATATATTTGACTTGATTTAATGCATAATCTTTTAAAAGTTAGTCTCATTACGTTTTAAATTTAAACATTTCTTTTCTAAGAGTTCATTGATTTTATTAAAAAGTGAAATTTTATTGTTTATAGGTCAAAGTCATCTATGGTGATGACAGAGAGTTATGTGGTACACTTTTGACGATAGATTGTGCCGATGGAGTCGTCAAGTTGGGGCCCAAAGAGTTCAAAATGATAAACATGAGATTTCTCTGCAAGATGATTTAATATGTGTTCAAATGGAGGACTTTTTAGCTACACTTTTATGTGAATAAATAATTTGTATTGAGACACTTTGGTTTATATAAACTAATATAATATTGTTATTCCAAAAGCAATTAGATCATGTATCATTTGTAGAATTTAAAACTTGTATATATTTTGTGGAATAAACTCATAAAGTTTGCAAAGCAAGCTTCTGATTTAAGTAAATTTGCCTTTGTATTCTTCACAATTGCTTAATGTCTTTGGTATTATTTTACCCACCTCAATGAATCCATTCAATTTCCATTTATTCTGATTACTGTAACATTTTTGAAGTGACAAAAAGTTTGAAAATATAGATGTCCAAAATTTTCTCTCGGAATAATTTGCTCAAAAACCAATTGATTTTTATAAATCTCGGATTGAAAGTTTGTACAACTGTAGTTAGTTCACCAGGAGTTGCCACCCAGCTCTGCCTTCATCACGTCGTATCTGACGATACCACTTTGTTACTTTTGGGAGCAGGATGCAAAGAATCCTTAACAAAGTTGCTATTTGGCGATCGTTTGATAAAACTATTTATTTTGCAATCTTTGTGTGCCTTTATTTAAGATTAAATATTTCATAAATTTGATGATATTTCTCTCTTTTGACTGAATAGTTAGTAATTTTTGAGCCATTTTGCTGCAATATGTTTAATTAGCTGGAGTAACGAAAGGTATAATAACAGATGATAAAGCAAAGTAAGTGACTGAAAAAGAATTCACTGTTTGCTTTTGGCGCGCATAAAGGGTTGTCTCAGTTCTAAGAGTGGACACGTTTCTCCTCTTACTCCCAAGCTGAAATGAACCTTACGTCCAAGGAGATTAATCCAAGTGCCAACTCCTGGTGCACGAACTGTAGAAGTCAAAAGCTTTTCTATAATGAAAATTATTATATCACTGACAAAAAAATAAAGTTTTATTAAAATTTATTTGTAGGAATTTTATTTTGAAAAAAAATTATCTAACTTTCCAAATCCTAACATTATGTGGTGTTCTAAAATATTCTCTTTATATATATTATTACAATACATTTTTCGTTATTATTAGTGTTTATTCTCAACTTATTAATATATAAATTAAATTTGTTATTATATTTTAAAAGTATGTATGCAAGATTTCCTAAAAATATCTAAGATCTACACTTTTTATTTATAAATACTTCAGCCTTCTTTTAATTAAAGAAATGTCATCTATACCTAGATGCCCCCCTTACTTAAATAATTGTTTTATTTTTCCTGGAAATTTTGACAATTAATTCAACTTAGAATTAAATTGGTGACTGTGCGATAATAAAAAGTGGTTTAAATGTGGATAGAACAGTGCCAAAAATTTGGAACAAAAAACGCAGCCAGGTAAATTTACTTTAATTACTTATTTTGTATTATATTTGTAGTGGTACTAATATACGTCATTAATATCAAGGCTCCCTGCCTCAGGGAGAACTTCACATAGTCAGGGAATTTTATTTTAACTCCAAAACTCAGCATAAGTCATAATTTTTTACAAAAACCAAGAAAATTCCCATGTCATACCTGGAAAATAACTAGTCTTAGAATTGTTAGTAATCAGTTATTCTATCTCTTCAAACCGGACACTACTTTTTCTAAATTTGAAGAAGAAAAAAACATTTCTGCTTTAAATTGCTAGGAAAAACACATTCAACATTTCGCCATTTTTAAAGCATGTTAATTTTTTGCCTTATCCATAACTAAAATATTGTTAAGCTATTTTACAACTTAAGAAGCAATCTTACTCCAGTTCACTAGCCTTATCTTTGCAAAGAAAGGAGAGAAAATGATACTGTTCTTATTAAATAATTCGGACAATGGCATATTTTCATCTGGACACCACAGGTCATGAGACCCCTCAAGTTGAAATGTCTTAAAGATTCTCAATGCTTCTTCCCCACTGAAAATTTCTTTCATTTTCTTATCTATTTGAAGATTGTATTTAACACCACAGGGGTTTAAAGAAGAGAGCAGAAGTAAAATCTTTGAGGTGTTCATATAAATGAAACATTTATTCAGACACTTGATAGATGATCAATTGTGAATAATCAACTCCATAGGTCCTCATGACCTACAGGTAAGCATTTTTTTTTCCTGCGAATCCCGGGAGGTATTAGCCACGTTTCCTATTAAATTATAGGTAGGGCTTAAGGGCTGTAAACTTAATAATTGAAATCGATTGAGGACTAAAAGCTCATATTCGATATCATGTGTCTAACTCTAATATCTGTGCTAATAGGAAATTTCTATTCATTTATTTGTAGCTATATCTAGAATCACGTATTTATATCAAGCTTTTTAATGCATTCTTCTTTTATCGAAAAAATATTCTTTAAAGATTAAATAAATATCCTTGTAGATAGTTATTGTAGATTATTTCTATTTCTTTGAAAATATTCTAAAAACAATATACGGTGTTAAACTTCGTTACTAGAGTAACCTTCTCGTCAACGAACAACTCATAAACAGACATTTTTTCGGTTCCAAGAATGTCCGCTTAACCGAGGTTTCACTGTATATATACATACACATATATGTATGGAACATATATATATATATAGTTAAACCCCGCTTTTACGTTGTTCGTTTTGTATATTATCCCACGTCCTATGTCATTTTCTTATGAAAATTGCCTATATTGATGATGTTAAATTGTCCTGGATTTTGTGTTAATATTTTGAAGAAAATCCTGCTTTATATGTTTTTTTAACCCATCAAAACAATTTTTTTCTCTACAAAGCTTGCATAAACTTTTTTCTTCTTCTTGCAAGTGTAATTTTTATCAACAAGCTTCAACCTTTGAATATTGGAATTACCCAATAATTTAAAAAACGTTACTCTAAACGAATGGGTGAGTAATCATTTCTTTTTCTTGATTCCTGTGACCTGCAGGATGCTTCTAACGCAAAAATAATTGTTCTGGGAGCTTTGAATTTGATTTCTACAGTGTCAACAGAAATGCATTACTTATAGCTTTAATAAAGCTTCAAGAAGTTAATTGCTTGTTGGTATCCTACAGAAACATTGGCCCTTCTTAAAATAAAAATTGCATATCTGAAGTCTTCCGAAGTCCATGACAACTTTATCAACTGCAACGCGCACCCGATTACTTTTCAATTCCTTCTAATGCCTGCTCCCACTGATATTGATGAAAACAATGAAGATGAGCAATAAATATCGGATGATATACCCAAAACTGATCACGAGTTTGAAAGCTTAAAAATTCTAAAACATTTGCGAATGTAAACCATAAAGCAAATTCACAAATAATAGTGACTCTAATCTATGATCCATCTATCACTGAGGATATTTTTATGTCAACACTGTGGTCTGTGCGAGCCGTGTGCACAATTCGCATCAAACAGTCATCCCTGGGATTCAAACATTGGGAGGTGAGGGCTCTACCCCCTGAATCACCATGGCTCATCATTGGCTAATTGGAAAATACAGACCTTTTAAAAGTAACACCTTCATTTTTCAATACACCAAGCTTATTTAAATAGTCTCCAGTATTTTCAATTCAGACTGTCATTTTTAGGCTTGTTGAAAAATTTTTTTAGATACCTTTAAGCTAATTAGAAAGGTATGATACACAGATCAGCCTGATTGTAATGAGCCTAGATCAGAGTAGGATTAGTGTGTGTAGTCGTATTAAAGACTAATAATTAATCTTATAGTCCTCGACTTATCTTATTAATCTTATAGTCCTTAGTAATTAAAATGATCCAAGAGAAATAAAGTCTTATTGAAAGAAAATTTAAATGAAATAAATAAATTTAAAATAAAACAATCTTTCACGAAATGCACATAGATCTATTTTTGTTTAGGAAACAAATACTAAACAGCACTTGGTAATTATTACTCTAGAATAAATATTGATAGAATGTTTAAAAAAACTATATTAAAATAAAAGAATGAAAATTTTAAAAAACGAGCATTTAAATCATTATTTTTAAATAACAGTTACGTATTTTATCCCCGGAAAAAAGTAAAAAACATTTACAATGTTTTTGTTTTGTTTTTTGTTGTATTTTTTTACAATTTTCTTTGGAGGTTTTTATGAGCGAATATATATGTTAGTGTGGGCTGAAGAGAAAAGTTTTTATTTTCAAAACTTTATTGCGCGAAAAAGATGTCTTTTATAAAAATTTAAAAAAAAAGAAAATTGATATAAAAAATTTTAAAATCGGTTGATTTCTTTCAATCATCCATTTCATTTGAAATTTATAAAAACTGACAAAACTTTTTATTAAATTTTTTAATACCACTTGAAATTGTACAATCAATGTACTATAATTTTTTATGGAATCAATACGGGAAATAAGTTAAAATGTCATTAATAATTGATGCACACTGTCTACTCAATGTGCTTAAAAAAACAGAAATTGTTTCAAGTTTTTTGCCATTTACTTCCGCGGCTTATAAGTGGACATATTAGTGAATCAATGACCTGCTTGCACAGGTTCAATTTCTGCTGCTCTACAATCTGTTGAAACTTTATTAGATTATATAGGAGTATTTGATTACGGTAACTTAACTACGGTTCGTAAAATATGTGTCAATATGCGGCGTATTACAAATTTTTTTAAAAGGAAAATTCTTAGTTTGATGTTATACGGGATGCAAATGAAAGTAATTTTTATATTTTTTGTACTGATATGGGATTTCTTATTTAATGAAAAGAAGTTTTCGCATTATCCGTGTTTTTCGATTGTCCGTGTGACCTGTCCCGGTGATTAACCCGGATAATCGAGAGTGCACTGTATATGTAAAAAAATTCCTTGGCTTCCAAAAGTAGTCGTAAATAGAGGAAGTCGTTATACAGAGGTGGTCTTTCCTAGAGGTTTTACTGTATATCTAGTCAAATGCGTACAAATTAAAACTTTGTTCCAATTTTAGGAAAAAAGAAAGGTTTTACCGGAATGCCGGTATTTTTTTTTTTTCAATTCCAAAAGTCTGCTTGCTTTTGATAGACGCAATTTACTTAATTGTGAATGCTGTCAATTTTAAAATTCTATAAAAACGTGACTTTTGAGTCCCCCCGATCTCGTTAAATAAATGTTTGAGAGGGTTAGAGAAATTTCGAATTTTTTTACTCATTATATATTTATTATTTTAGATTAATATTGCACTTAGCATGCAATCTTCACAGCTCATAGTTGAAAAAGTCAGATTC